ATGTATATATGCACATTTACACTTACATACACACATGTATGTATTCATTTTTATAAAGCTTCAGTCCATATCAATACCTTCAATTTAGTCTATCCCATAGGATTCACCTTGCTATCCCCCTTTCATTATTTGTATGACCCTTCTTCCACATTGAGAACCCTGGCTGTCAACAATATCAACACATTTACTCATCTATCATTCAGCTAAAATATGTTTATATATTTACTCATATCTAAATACACTTATATACTATAGAAATATATTTATATAGATTGATGATATATATCAATATTATATACATCTATACTACAATCTATAATACATCTAAAATAGATTCAGAATTGCTTTGCCCATACCTCTACAAAAACAAGCCTACTAAAAAGGCTTCAGGATTTGTCTGCTGTTCTCCCCCTACCCTGACCAAGATTGAGAAATGTTTATAGTCTGATTCTATGTTTGTAAAGTACTTGGATTAGTTGGCTCTTTTTTCCTCTTCAGTGTGGTTATGTTATTCATTTAAATACTTTTATAATCATTTATTTGGTTTGCTTTTAGTTTTAGAAACCCCTTCCCAACTTTAATTTTTTGATCATGTGAAACATGTTTTCGAGAGTCAACACTATATAAAATGGTATAGTGAGAAAAGCATCACTCCATTCTGTATTCCTTCTGCCTTATTCCCCACGCACCCCCCTTTCAAGGAACTATTGTTTTCTGTTTAGCCTTTCGGAGCTTCTTTTTGGACAGGTAAGTGGATACACACATGTTTTCTTATTTCTCCCCGTCACTCGAAAGGTAGCATACTACAGATGCTCTTCTGCAGTTTGATTTGTTCATGTAAGAATATCTCTTGGGAATTACTCCCTATCAGTTCATAGAGGTCTTTCTTTTCTTCATTTACAGCAACGAATTACCCCATTATGAGTATTTATCATAGTTTATTTAACTCATCACCTATGCCCGGATAGCTCGTTTCTAATATTTTGCAACTGCAAATAATGCTGCAGTGAATAACCTTGTGCAATGTGTGTGTGTGTGTATTATTGGAGTTGTGCCTTCAGAATTATTGCCCAGAAGTGTGATTGGCAGGTCAAAGTGTAAATGCGGATGAAGTTTGTTGGACAATGCCAAATTCCTCTCCATGGGGGCTGTACCATTTTGCATTTTTAGTGAGAAAGCAGTGCGTGAGTGCCTGTTTTCCCCCATGTCCTTGCCAACACGATGTAATCATAAGCTCTTGAATTTTTGCCAAACTGATGGGTGAGAAATGGTGTCTAAATGTTGTTTTGAGTTTCTCTTATTATGAGCGAAACTGAACATTTTCTCGCATGTTTAGGGTCCATTTTTATAATGCCTGTGTCGCAAATTGTCTGTGGACATCTTTTGCCCATTTATTCATCGGATTTAAAGATTTTGAAAGTTGTGTATTTGGAAGACATAGCTTTTAATACAATTTACACTAACAGAAGGCAGAATCCCAAAGTACCTGCTGTGGATAAGCTATGGTTTCTGCCTTCCACGAATTCACAGTGTGTAAAATGAACACTATCACAATGGATATGAGCAGAAACTCTGGACCCAGATTGCCTAGGCTTCTTCAAAGGCCAGTCCTGACACTTAGGCACATTTTAAGCCTCTTGGAACTTTAGTTTTTTCTAACTGTAAGATGAAAATATTCACAGCATATACCTCTCAGGATTGTTTTAAGGATGAAATGACTTAACACATGATAAGTACTTTGAAGGGTGGCTGGAACAGTAAACATTTCATAAATGTTAGCTATTTAGCAGTCAAAGAAATGCTCTGCAACCCACTCATCTGAGCCCATAAGAATTTTGTTTTAAATGGTTATAAAAAATGAGGACCTGGAGGTTTTGAAACATTAGGTGAATCAGTGGTAGAACCAGAGTTTTTTTAAAAGTAATCTCTACACCCAGCATAGGGCTTGAACTCAAGATATTGAAATCAAGAGTCATATGTTCCACCACGGAGCCAGCCAGGCACCCCTGAATAAGACAGATCTTTGAGCCCCTGGAGCTCACTTTCTTATACTGGAGGGGTCTGTGTGGGCTGTAGGAAGGAAAAAAAAAAACCAAAAAAAACCTAAGTAAACTAATTTTGTCTGTCTTGTTCATTACTCGTCATTCAGCACACACAACAGTGTTAGAACTCATTTGTTAAATGACAACAATGAGGAATAAATGACTGAGTAGTGAAAAACGCAGCTCAATACGTAGTTAGGGCCCAAATCATGAAAGGCCTTGCCAACTATTCTGAAGAGTTTGGACTTTATCCTGAGCAGAGAAATCACATCACCCAACTTGCATGGAAGAAAACTTAAGCCAGTGGCTGCGTGGAGGACCCACAGCAGAAGGGCCCCCAGCAACAAGCCACCTCGGTGTAGTGGGAAAGAAACGATGAGTGCTGAATCAAGAGGGAGTCTGAGGGGACAGAGAGGAGAACTGGACAGAGATTTAGAAGTCAAGACTGACTTTACACACGCTTGGTATAGAGGGAGGGTGGGGGAGGGACAAGTCTGCAGTAACACTGAGGTTTCACTGTGATGAGAAATTGAAGAGGGATAGCTGACTGGGGAAAACAAAGAATGGATTTTCCAACACACACAGATATGAGGCGACCGTGGGACAATGCTCAGTCTCTTGACTGTACTTGCATTTAGCTTCTCGACACTCCTTGAAGTCGGGAGCTGTGTGGGCCTGTTCGGGGCACTGTAGTGGCATTCTATGACATTAATATAGTGTCTGACCGTGGAAAGGATACCAGTTAGGTCGATTGACTAGGAGGAGTGCAGCCTGAACTCCCTGGGGGTTCCTGATGGGGGTGCACCCAGTAGTAAGTTCACTGCTGACTCTAACGGAAAGTTTATTCTTTGACTGCAAAAATACTCACTTTTGCATCTTTTTTCATGCCCAAGATGATACCTTGCAGAAAGCAGATTGTTGGCAATACTAGATAGATGCCGCATAGGGAGATTATGAAAGGAAATCCATCATCAGGCCAGGCTTATGGCTTGAGCTTAGGCTGCCCCAGGGGTACTGAACCAGGATGCAGGGAGTTAGGAAGTCCAGGAGGAGCTTCAAGTCCCTTTCCATAAAGACAGAGAACAGATGAATAAACAGACAGCCCAATGAAAACTCCTCTAAAATGGCACCCTGAAGCTTTCATGACACCAGTGCTTTCCAAGAGATTGTGCAGGAGGTAAGGCCGTGATATTTAGACTTTTGAGAAGACGTGGACAAGACAGCAATTCAGATACCTGGACGCCTGTCTTTACCAAGGAAAAGGAGTTTTTAATGCATTGGTGATGTAGTAGAAATCCAAAAGAAAAGAGACTGTGTTTCACAGAAGCTTCCATGGACTGGTGTTTATTTTAAAAAGTGACCTGCACTTTCTGGAGGATATCACTGGATCCTCACAAGAAGGTTTCATCATAGTTAGGAAAGGACCTACTACAATTCATTTTCTGATGACAGTGCTTTCTGGCTTGTCCCTGCAAGGTACTAGGGGCAGGAAAAGGTATGCAGTCAAGAAGATAGGGGGGAGGGTCTCATAAGCAGATGGGAGCTATTGCAAATAAACCATAGGATGGTCTCTGGAGGGGAAGCAACATTAGGGACTTGGGCGAGGAAAGATCAAGAGGAAAAGCAGGGCAGAGCAATAGCTTAGGAGGAAGGCAGGTAGGGTGGTATCCCCCACAGAAGGTGGCGGATAAAAAAGAGAAAAAGGCGTGTGAAAGCACCGCACGTGCAGGGCACGAGTTAAGGATTATGAAGAAGAGCTGTAAAAAGAATTGGGTTACTGAACTGGGAAGGAGGGACTTGGTTCTCTGGAGATCCCTTCTGCGTTCACACAGGCCAGCCCAGCGCTAAGGGGGTGTGGTACTGAGCTCGCAGCCGTGCGGATGCCAGGTGACCGCGGTGGGGGCGCCGCCCAATCCCATCCAGTAGCGGGAGGCCAGGAAAGCCTAGGGACAGGCTGACAGTCCGGCAGGGAGGCTGGCAGGGCGGAGGCGGAGCGAAGGCGCCGATGGGCGGGACGGGGGAGGGCGTGGGGAGGACAAGGAGGCGCTGGCTACTGGCGGCGCTAGGACCCGCCAGCGTCCCGCCGGCTCCCGGGAGGTTGATAAAGCGGCGGCGGCGTTTGACGTCAGTGGGGAGTTAATTTTAAATCGGTACAAGATGGCGGAGGGGGACGAGGCAGCGCGGAGGCAGCAGCCGCACCAGGGGCTGCGGCGCCGGCGGCGGACCAGCGACCCAAACACCGGGGTTAACCACGTCTCGTCCACGACCTTCCTAGGTACGCGCCGGCGGGGCGGAGGCCGCAGGGTCCCGGTGGGGAGAGGGCGCGGGCCGCTCGGACCCGCGGGCACCGGCCGCAGGCGGCGGGGTCGTCGTCCGCGGCTGGCTCAGCTCTCTTCCCGCCGTCGCGTCTGGCGGCCGCGGGGCCTAACCCCCGCCGCGCCCCGAGCTCCCGCGGCGCGCGGCCTGAAAGGGCGGCCCTCGGGCCGCGGCTCCCCT